CCCGCGCGCTCTGCCCGGGGCACACACACCCTTCTTGGGGAGCGAGCCCAGCCCCTGGGGCCTCTGAGATCCAGCGTTGGGGAGGCCTGTGCCCCGCGCGCTCTGCCCGGGGCACACACACCCTTCTTGGGGAGCGAGCCCAGCCCCTGGGGCCTCTGAGATCCAGCGTTGGGGAGGCCTGTGCCCCGCGCGCTCTGCCCGGGGCACACACACCCTTCTTGGGGAGCGAGCCCAGCCCCTGGGGCCTCTGAGATCCAGCGTTGGGGAGGCCTGTGCCCCGCGCGCTCTGCCCGGGGCACACACACCCTTCTTGGGGAGCGAGCCCAGCCCCTGGGGCCTCTGAGATCCAGCGTTGGGGAGGCCTGTGCCCCGCGCGCTCTGCCCGAGGTACACGCACTCTCCGGCGGCAAGCGCTGGTTCCAAAGGACCCCCTAGATTTGCACCTAATCACCAGCCGTGCCCGGGCACCCCACTATTAAGCCCGGGGACACTAACTCCTCCAAACCGCATGGATCAGACAGACGTGCTGCTGGTGACCCAACTGGCCAAGACGTACCGCTGGTGACCCAATCGGTCTTTGGGTTTGTGAATGGGTCACCACCGGCCCTGGGCTCGTGTATGGGGCACCAGCCGCACGTCGTCCTAGCCTCCGTCTGCGATGGGGCCTTATGTTTGCTGCGGGGTGACGGACGCTGGGAGACGGGTTAGCAGCTCAGAAATGGACCCTTGACTCCCGTGGACCCCCTAACTCCCATGGTGTTCAGACCACTGGCCTTGCCCGGATTTGAACGCTTGTTTTTGGGTTAGCTTTGCTGGTCAAGAGGCCTGGATCCTTGGAAGGACCAGGGCAGCAGTGCGCATTTGGTTTGCCCGGATTTGAACGCTTGTTTTTGGGTTAGCTTTGCTGGTCAAGAGGCCTGGATCCTTGGAAGGACCAGGGCAGCAGTGCGCATTTGGTTTGCCCGGATTTGAACGCTTGTTTTTTGGGTTAGCTTTGCTGGCCAAGAGGCCTGGATCCTTGGAAGGACCAGAGCAGCAGTGCCCACTTGGTTTGCCCGGGTTTGAACGCTTGTTTTGGGGTAGCTTTGCTGGCCATTGAGGCCTGGGTCCTTGGTAGGACCAGGGCAGCAGCGCCCACTTGGTTTGCCCGGATTTGAACGCTTGTTTTGGGGTAGCTTTGCTGGCCATTGAGGCCTGGGTCCTTGGAAGGACCAGGGCAGCAGCGCCCACTTGGTTTGCCCGGATTTGAACGCTTGTTTTGGGTTAGCTTTGCTGGCCAAGAGGCCTGGATCCTTGGAAGGACCAGGGCAGCAGTGCCCACTTGGTTTGCCCGGGTTTGAACGCTTGTTTTTGGGTTAGCTTTGCTGGCCATTGAGGCCTGGGTCCTTGGAAAGACCAGGGCAGCAGCGCCCACTTGGTTTGCCCGGATTTGAACGCTTGTTTTGGGTTAGCTTTGCTGGCCAAGAGGCCTGGATCCTTGGAAGGACCAGGGCAGCAGTGCCCACTTGGTTTGCCCGGGTTTGAACGCTTGTTTTGGGGTAGCTTTGCTGGCCATTGAGGCCTGGGTCCTTGGAAGGACCAGGGCAGCAGTGCCCACTTGGTTTGCCCGGGTTTGAACGCTTGTTTTTGGGGTTAGCTTTGCTGGCCAAGAGGCCTGGATCCTTGGTAGAACCAGGGCAGCAGCGCGCACTTGGTTTGCCCGGATTTGAACGCTTGTTTTGGGGTAGCTTTGCTGGCCATTGAGGCCTGGGTCCTTGGTAGAACCAGGGCAGCAGCGCCCACTTGGTTTGCCCGGATTTGAACGCTTGTTTTGGGGTAGCTTTGCTGGCCATTGAGGCCTGGGTCCTTGGAAGGACCAGGGCAGCAGCGCCCACTTGGTTTGCCCGGATTTGAACGCTTGTTTTGGGGTAGCTTTGCTGGCCATTGAGGCCTGGGTCCTTGGTAGGACCAGGGCAGCAGCGCCCACTTGGTTTGCCCGGATTTGAACGCTTGTTTTGGGGTAGCTTTGCTGGCCATTGAGGCCTGGGTCCTTGGAAGGACCAGGGCAGCAGCGCCCACTTGGTTTGCCCGGATTTGAACGCTTGTTTTGGGTTAGCTTTGCTGGCCAAGAGGCCTGGATCCTTGGAAGGACCAGGGCAGCAGTGCCCACTTGGTTTGCCCGGGTTTGAACGCTTGTTTTTGGGTTAGCTTTGCTGGCCATTGAGGCCTGGGTCCTTGGAAAGACCAGGGCAGCAGCGCCCACTTGGTTTGCCCGGATTTGAACGCTTGTTTTGGGTTAGCTTTGCTGGCCAAGAGGCCTGGATCCTTGGAAGGACCAGGGCAGCAGTGCCCACTTGGTTTGCCCGGGTTTGAACGCTTGTTTTGGGGTAGCTTTGCTGGCCATTGAGGCCTGGGTCCTTGGAAGGACCAGGGCAGCAGTGCCCACTTGGTTTGCCCGGGTTTGAACGCTTGTTTTTGGGTTAGCTTTGCTGGCCAAGAGGCCTGGATCCTTGGAAGGACC